TTCATTAATAACTTGGACAAAATAAAATTTAACCTAATACTTACACGAAGTTGAAATATTTAAACTCTTTCCAAAATATTTAGTGGTGACGACGAGCAACTACGGAACCCTACACTGTGCATGGCACGACACGCACTTGGCCGTTTTTTTATTTACCCTTTTATGGGTAGATTTTCGAAAAACGCTGATACAAGTTATTCTTCATTTCTGGTCTTTAGTAAAAATACCAAGTTTCGAGTTAATCGAAATGCATGTTAAAAATTAATCCATTGTACCCCTTTGACAACCTCCCAATCCCCTTTAAGGAGGCAGTTCAGGTTAACCAAAAATGATAAAATTATAATTTATTTAGATCAATATTCGTGCTAAGATTCAAGTCTATTAACTCAGGTATAAGATTTTTCATACAAACTTTTATCTCCTATTTTAAACCCGACGGGAGTGAATTTTTAAAAATCCTTTCTTAGTGCACCCCTAGGCCTCATAAAGAACCTATGTGCCTTTGGATTCTCTAGACTGTGCGTTGATTGTCAGTCAGTCAGTCAGCCAGTCAGTCACACAGAGTCTTCTTTTATATATTCTGAATTGAAAAAGAACTCGTACCAGGAGAACAGTTCTTCTGAGATTGACCCGTTTGATTTTATTGCCAAGGGTACAGCGGTTAAAATTAAATTTCCACTGTACCCTCAAGGAAACAACTGAAGGTACACAGGAAAGTAAGCGCAAAATTTTATAACTGTTGCATGCAGTTGCGGTCAATAATGTTTAATAATAAATATTAAATGCATTAAACCTTGCTAAATCAAGGATTTACGCTTTTGTCAAAAAAAAACAGCCGATAATTTAATCTGACGAAAAAGGAATCTGACGAATTGTAACGAAATCAAATTGGTTTTTAATTAACAAAATAATAGAAGTAATCACAATATTAATAATGTTCAGAGTTCAAAAAGGACGTGTTGTGATGAGTATATTAAATTAAACTTAACTAATTAAATTTAACTTTAGTTTAATATCATGGATCATCTTAACCCGTGAAAAACTAGTCTATGTCCCTTCTTAAAGAAACATAATAATGACATTGTAAAATTAAAAAATCTAACCCGATAATCTTTCTAAAACACTCGAGGTTACGAAGAAAATCAGGAAAATATAATTTTGTTAAAAGAAACTCACATTTCACCAGCGCACTTTCAGCCGACAAGAAGGATGAATAGGTAATATATAAATTAATGTGAAACTCGTGGGTAAATAACATATTTATGTTAAAAACTATCAAGTTAAAAATATCGTTATCAGTATCGTTATCAATACCAAAACAATCAATGATTCAGCTAATATTCTAACGAAGCAGCTATCAAGCGACGCGCTCGAGTACTCGTACCCGTTTACCGAAATTCAACTGTTTTAAAAACCACAACTATCAAGACTTGCTAATAAATTGACTGGTGCTATTTATTAAGCACTAGCGGCCCGCCCTCGCTTCGGTGTAGAACTGAAGTGTAGACTACAGTTTTTGTTCTCAGGCTTGTATTATACACAATGACATTCATCTATGATTCTTCTTATACCTGTATGCAAAGTCTCAGCCCGATCGGTTTAAAATTGACAAAGTTTCATACAAACTTTGATTCCCTATTTTATCCCCTTGGGGGTGGAATTGATCAAAATCCTTTCTTAGCGGATGCCTACGTTATAACATCTATCTGCATGCCAAATTTCAGCCCAATCCTTCCAGTGGTTTGGGCTGTGCGTTGATAGATCACTATGTAAGTCACCTTTGAGTTTTATATACATACTAGTGGCCCGCCCTCGCTTCGCTTCGGTGTAGAGCTGTAGCGTAAACTATAGTTTTTGTTCTCAGGCTTGTGTTATAAACAATAACTTTATTTATATAATTACACGTGTTATTGTGAGTCAAGCATAAAAGATAGACATATGCTGTTGCGGGATATTTTTTAGACAATTTTATGTAGAATATTTCCGTCATACATGATTTCTATGTAACTTTAACCATTAAAGCTGCACACGCGACGGAAGCTTAAAAAATGGAGTAACTTCTCCCGTTTTTCCAATATTTCCCTTCACTACTCTGCTCCTATTGATTGTAGCGTGATGAAAAGTATACTATAACCTGCCCAGGAGTATGAAGAATAATTGTACCAAGTTTCGTTAAAATCTGTCGAGTAGTTTTTGTTTCTATAAGGAACATACACACAGACAGACAGACAGACAAAAATTTTACTGATTGCATTTTTGGCATCAGTATCGATCACTAATCATCCCCTGATAGTTATTTTGAAAATATATTTCATGTACAGAATTGACCTCTCTACAGATTTATTATAAGTATAGATATAGATTGCAAACTCATGCGACATGGATGGGCCCCTATCCAAAAAAAGAACAAAATTATTTATTTTAAAACCATTTACGGAACACATTTACTTATCATTTGTTGAGGTCATCTTTTATACATGAAAATATCTATGCCAGAAGGCCCCGCGCTTCCAAACAAAACTCATGAGTAAGTGAGCAGCAATACGATCCCAATTCTCAAATCAAAGATCAGATGTATGAGTTGTTAATTGTTTTCTCTTACAGCTGCCATCCTTAGATTAAAACACTTATCCCTTTATTACACGACTGCGCAATGCAAGAGCGCGAAGCGCGACGCGCAGACAGGGTATAGTGTTTAACAGTCTTTAAATGTATGTTTGTTCCTTTGTGGCACACTAGAGACCAAACGCGTGGACCGATTTTTCCGACCGACAGTGGTTTCTTACACCATTTTTCATTTTATGTGACTGTTTAGGATCTACAACGACTTAAAGTTGTATATTAACCACTCGTACGCTTTTAATTTCAATCTTACGTTTGTATGGATCTTTGTTACTCTTTCACCTAAAAAATACTGAATGGATTTTAATGAAACTTTACAATAATATAGCTCATACATGATAATAACATACAGATAACAATTTATATAGTCATTGAGTGAATTGGCCAAAATATAACAATAAGTGTCACGTAAGACAGAAAAAAATCTTCCATCTGCGAGCCATTTTGGCCTGCCTTTTGAAGTAAGAACAATAAAAGTTACACGAATATAATGTAAAGTTAAAATGTTTGAGACGAGACAGCGACATGGACGAGGAGGAGGCTATGCCATCACGCATAGTAGCAAAGGCGAAACGAGGGAAGAGCAAGCGCAAGCGGAAGGCTGCGCCATGCAATTCCGATCAGTCCCAAGACTCGGAGGAACCGGAAGGGGAGGCACCGAAAGGTGAAGAATCGGAAGGTGAGGAGTGGAAGGATGAGGAAACCGACACCATCACGACGAAGGAGCTCAGGTGCGAAATTAACCTGCGCCTGAACTACACTGATGGTCTCGCGGTGACGAACATACCTCACGAGGAAAAGAAGAGGAGGATCTTCCAGGCGACGGGCGAAGTAAGGGATTTTGTGAAGAGGGCCTTGGAAAAGGCAAACAGGGCGGAGCGGCTCGACAGGCTAGAGGAGAAAAATGGCCGACTTCGGAAGGAAAATGAGAGCCTCAGGGCTGAGGTCAAGGCCCTGAAGAAGGAGCTGGGCTCGATAAAGAAAACAATGGGGAGGGGGGTGCATCCCGCGCCGGAGCCAGTCGCGTTACTGACGGCGGAGGCAGCCGAGGAGCTGAAACGCTCCCTTATGATCACCATAGGGGAGATGGTCAGCACTCGGCTGGCCTCCTTCGCGGAAAGGCTCCACCTGCCACTGGTGAAGAACCCCAGGCCACCGTTGGCGGCGGACATCAAGGAGAAGGAGGAGAAGGAGAGAGGTCGTGGGCGAGTACGCGGAGATCGTCAGGCCTGAGAGATGCGCGGACCTGAAGGTGTCGGGGCTTGATGAGTCGGTGACACCAGAGGAGGTGAAGGAGGCAGTAGCCAGAGTAGGGGGGTGCGCGGAGCGCGAGATCTCCTCGGGGGGAATGCACCCGGGACCGGGGGGGATGAGGGGGACGCTGGTCCGGTGCCCTGCATGGGCCGCAAGGAAGGTGGCAGAAGAGGGAAAACTCAAGATAGGGTGGAACCTCGCAAAGGTGACGGTCCTAAGCCGGCGCGTGCACTGTTTCAGGTGCATGGGGAAGGGGCACGCGCGATGCCCGGCAAAAGAGGACCGGAGCACTTTGTGCTTCCGAAGTGGGAAGGAGGGGCACAGGGTGGCGGTGTGTACTGCCACCCCCCGATGCGCGGTCTGCGCAGGGAGCGGCCGGCCATCCGGCCATATAATGGGGAGTAGGAGGTGCGACCCTCCTGTCACATGGGGCAAAAAAGACCCAGACAAAGCGGTCGCTGAGTCGTTGGCCCCGGGATAGGCGCCCCCAGAGGACGAGAGGTCCGAGTAGTCCAGGCTGCTCGGACTACGTACCGACTTCTGCCGCCCGCGGCTTCCACCTCTTCTCCTAGGAGAAGAGTCGGGAAGCCGCGGGCGGCCGGGAGGGGGGGCGACTGCCCCTGCAACGACGGAGGGGAGAGGGACGGGGACAACTACGCTCCCCCTCCCGCTCCCCCGGGAGCCAGTGGCTAAGCGTGGGGGGCGTCGAGACACATTGCACGGTTCCTGAGACGTGTGGTGCCCCTGATACTCCGGGGAACCGCACGCCGGGGGGGTCCGACAACGGACAATCACTGGCGGGGCCGCGGTGCGTTGCAAATCCCGTAGCTAACCCGCACTCCTGGCACGCAATGGGGGACCCAGATCCCCGGATTGTGTGTCAGGTGACCAGTGCAGGAGTATTGTCTGGTTTTTAGTGGCCCTGTAAGGGCGTAGGTAGGGCCTTGTTCACTTCGGCGAGTCCTAGGGCTGGTTGAAGTGGACGAGGAGGAGTCCCACATACCTCCTTCTCGCTCACCCAGTGGTTGAAGGATGCTTAAAGCATTTTCCAGACACAAATGAAAAAAAAAAGGTTACCGATAATTCTAAAAGGTTAGGTTAGGTAATTAAATAAGAACCATGAAATCAATTACGTATAAATTTAATACTTTTATACATCAATATTTATATTAATAAAAGATCACAAACGGTGTTAATTGACTATATAAAAAGAAGTCGCGTAGAGCGGTACGCTAAGAAGGCATACAATAAAAGTACTGCATAAATACTTATTACAATCACAGTGATTCGTAATTAATATAAATTGCAACAGTTAAATGTTTTAGGCACGTATTTGAGCCTCCCCTAATCTAAGTATTGTGTACTATTCTGGCATCTGCGATGAGATTAACGAGTAGTAATTTAATAATACACGAAAGCCAAAATGATGAGTTAAGTAACTTATAATCAATGCTGCCAATGGCGCAGAAGTTACCCGATTTGTCGGGAAATGTAGAGTTGGTACGGGAAAAGATCGGGAAAATATTTAAAATCAACAATTAGTTTAGCGAATCAAAGCTGATTGTATTTTCTTTTTATCGCGTACCTACATATAATGGACCTAAATTGTACAACTACTTAAACCAAAATACAAAAATGAGAAAGCCTGAATCATAAAATGAGGAGCTAGCGAACAAAACAATATAATTACGCATCTGGAGCTCTACTCTCTTTCTCCGAAACGAAGATTCGGTAACGAACGAATTTTAAACGAAATTTCGCCAATGACTCTACTCTATTTTATTTTCGAACACGCACATTAAGTTCGGAATCACAAACAATTTTCGTGAACGAATGGATTGAGTCTTGTTTGTAAGTTCTTTTTATGTTTACTTTTTAAATAACGTTTTTTACTTGGAAACAATGTTACTATATGACAACATTTTTGATAACATTGAAAGAACCTTTTTTGACAGTGTTAGCCGACTGGTTTGTAGAGTTGATACACTCGATTGTATGTCAACCTAAATTTGTCGTTTAATATTTTGAAGTATTGGAAATACAATAAATAATAAAAATTTCGTTTCATTGTCAATTTTACATGCTATAAAATGTTCCTCGAGCTAAGCAGCCTGGATGAAAGAATACTCTATCAAGCATTTTAGACTTAATTCAAATAAAAATCCCAAACCGAAAAAGAAAACGTAACACTTTTAATTTCGTCAATTTGAGGTTAAAATTTCGAACAAATATATGTCCAATTCAACTTTTCGTTCGAAAGTATTGTGAATTAGAGTAGGCTTGGAGAATTTAACTGTCAAACTATTTTCGGACGAACGAATTTTCGAAATGAAAAAGAAATAGAGTAAATAACGTGCGAAATTCCGATCGAAATTTCGTTTTTCGTCGAAATAGAGTAGTCCTCTTGGTCAAAATACTTTTTTTTTACAGTCCGGAGGTTTCGGGCCCGTTGTATTTGAATCTCAATTAAATTTTCAATCAAAACCGCCTAAAACAGTGTTAAAATTACTAAATTTATAAATTAAAAACCATGGCAAAAACTGACAAGAGGTATGTCATTCAGTTTTATACAGCTCCTGTAAAATTTAATTTTATGTAATTATACCGTTTTGTTTGCCAGCTCCTCAAATATCATTAGAAATGGAATTTTACAACTATAAAACTTGTAACTGAATTAACATAAGAAAGTTAAGTTTTTTTTATAATTTGACTGCTTTTCTTTGAAATGAGTATTTGTCCATTTTCGTTTATTAATGCAAGGTATCTACTGTTTCATATCACATTATTTTTAAGTCGAGAAATTTTTGGGGAATGTGCTAAGTGCAAAGTAGGCCAGGAATGCCAAAAAATATAACAGACTGAAGCAGGGTAATTTACAACTGGCATGGGCAGCTCTGCTTATATTTATATATTATGATGACTACTAATAACAGTAGCCTTCATTCTGGTAGCACCATTCTGGTTGGATGGAATCAGCCTGGATTCCCATGCGGACCAATCGTTCCCTGTAAGGAAAATTTAATGTTATTCTACTAAGTAGGTACCAATGATACAAGAAATTTAAAAATAAAGATATGTTTGAATTCGGTATGAATTGTGGGTACCTTCATTGTAGTACCTACAATGCGAAGAGATATCGCTGACTTGCAGTCTAAGAAATGCTAAAGAAAATTCGACACGGACAATTTAGGCCGCGGTAGCATAATGGTCAGTGCATCCGCCCGAATAGCGGAGGATGCGGGTTCGAGTCTCATCTGGTGAGTGATCCGCGTGGATTTTTTTCTACTAAAAAATTCTTTAGATTTAAACATTTAGCAGTTAAATGCTTAAAAATTAAAATTATAACTATGATGATCAATTCTCAATTGTTCTATTCTATGGCCATCATACAATATGACAACATCCTCGCCCAAGTAACAATTTAGGTTCTTAGAAGGTCATAAAAAAGTCCTAAAACCTCTTTTAAAAATATCTTGGATAGTGCTATATAACACAAACAATGACATATTTTGGATTACAGAACCTCCTGTGTCCCCACAATATGCCTGCCCCTCACCTGGCATGCAGCATCCTGTACTCGGCGTCGCGCCAGGTGAGCGCGACCAGAGACGGCTGTCGAGTGTAGCCGCGTCCGACTATAGAGCCGTCTCCCCTCCTGTGTAACAATATGTCTGCCCCTCACCTGGCATGCAGCATCCTGTACTCGGCGTCGCGCCAGGTGAGCGCGACCAGAGACGGTTGTCGAGTGTAGCCGCGTCCGACTATAGAGCCGTCTCCCCTCCTGTGTAACAATATGTCTGCCCCTCACCTGGCATGCAGCATCCTGTACTCGGCGTCGCGCCAGGTAAGCGCGGCCAAAGATGGTTGTGGAGGGTAGCCGCGTCCGATTATAGAGCCGCCTCCCCTCCTGCGTCCCCACAATATGCCTGCCCCTCACCTGGCATGCAGCATCCTGTACTCGGCGTCGCGCCAGGTGAGCGCGGCCAAAGACGGTTGTGGAGTGTAGCCGCGTCCGACTATAGAGCCGCCTCCCCTCCTGTGTCCCCACAATATGCCTGCCCCTCACCTGGCATGCAGCATCCTGTACTCGGCGTCGCGCCAGGTGAGCGCGACCAGAGACGGTTGTCGAGTGTAGCCGCGTCCGACTATAGAGCCGTCTCCCCTCCTGTGTAACAATATGTCTGCCCCTCACCTGGCATGCAGCATCCTGTACTCGGCGTCGCGCCAGGTAAGCGCGGCCAAAGATGGTTGTGGAGGGTAGCCGCGTCCGATTATAGAGCCGCCTCCCCTCCTGCGTCCCCACAATATTCCTGCCCCTCACCTGGCATGCAGCATCCTGTACTCGGCGTCGCGCCAGGTGAGCGCGGCCAAAGACGGTTGTGGAGTGTAGCTGCGTCCGACTATAGAGCCGCCTCCCCTCCTGTGTCCCCACAATATGCCTGCCCCTCACCTGGCATGCAGCATCCTGTACTCGGCGTCGCGCCAGGTGAGCGCGACCAGAGACGGTTGTCGAGTGTAGCCGCGTCCGACTATAGAGCCGTCTCCCCTCCTGTGTAACAATATGTCTACCCCTCACCTGGCATGCAGCATCCTGTACTCGGCGTCGCGCCAGGTGAGCGCGACCAGAGACGGTTGTCGAGTGTAGCCGCGTCCGACTATAGAGCCGTCTCCCCTCCTGTGTCCCCACAATATGCCTGCCCCTCACCTGGCATGCAGCATCCTGTACTCGGCGTCGCGCCAGGTGAGCGCGGCCTAAGACGGTTGTGGAGTGTAGCCGCGTCCGACTATAGAGCCGTCTCCCCTCCTGTGTCCCCACAATATGCCTGCCCCTCACCTGGCATGCAGCATCCTGTACTCGGCGTCGCGCCAGGTGAGCGCGGCCTAAGACGGTTGTGGAGTGTAGCCGCGTCCGACTATAGAGCCGCCTCCCCCCCTGTGTCCCCACAATATGCCTGCCCCTCACCTGGCATGCAGCATCCTGTACTCGGCGTCGCGCCAGGTGAGCGCGGCCTAAGACGGTTGTGGAGTGTAGCCGCGTCCGACTATAGAGCCGCCTCCCCCCCTGTGTCCCCACAATATTTCTGCCCCTCACCTGGCATGCAGCATCCTGTACTCGGCGTCGCGCCAGGTGAGCGCGGCCTAAGACGGTTGTGGAGTGTAGCCGCGTCCGACTATAGAGCCGCCTCCCCCCCTGTGTCCCCACAATATTTCTACCCCTTACCTGGCATGCAGCATCCTGTACTCGGCGTCGCGCCAGGTGAGCGCGGCCAAAGACGGTTGTGGAGTGTAGCTGCGTCCGACTATAGAGCCGCCTCCCCCCCTGTGTCCCCACAATATTTCTACCCCTTACCTGGCATGCAGCATCCTGTACTCGGCGTCGCGCCAGGTGAGCGCGGGTTCGGCCCACAGCCGCTCGGCGAGGGCGGCGGCACGCGGCCACAGGCGGTTGTCGAGTGTAGACGCGTCCGACTGTTCTGACCATAACGCTGCTTCCCCTCCTGTAAATACATTAGAAATTATACTTTAAATCCGCAGCCCTCGAATATCGCCGTCTGGTTGCGTGTTTAATTGTGTGTGCACGAGAACTATTGAAGTTAATCCCGCCTGCACCTTTTTGCTATTGAAAGACGAGACGTAGACAGGGAATACATCCGTACGTGGTTGAATTGCCTCCACTGCGTACCTCACAATTTGCATCGTCCTTCATCATGCGAAACGTTAGGAAATGGAATTCCCTTCCTATGTCATTATTCTTGATGATGTCTTAAGAAGCTACTACCACATCGTTACCTAACATAAGGCGCAATTGTGGTAAAAAGCACTCAAATCTTTTATAAAAAAAACACGATTAAAAAATTACGTTTCTATCCACATAAACACGGAATGAGGAGTTGTTACGCATATTCTCGTGTCTGAGCACTTTGTTCCTAGATATTCGACAGTTGTTTGACCCGCGACAAAGAGACCCCCAACTTTACAATGAAACTACCGCGAACCATTGCGCGAAATCTTATGTTCTTATGGCGTCATTCGCGGACTCATTATTGAGTGGGCATAAAAGTTTCGGCAGTAACCAACAACACATCAAGCTGCCACAAAATCGCGCTCATTCGATTGTGAACTTTTAATGAAAGAAACAAAATAAAGCTTTCATACCCTAATAAATTTTAACCGGGAATGAACGCTGTAGTCTATATGAGAGAAGCCACTGGCAGGAAGCTTGTCACACTAATATTATAAAGGCGAAAGTTTGTGGATGTGTATGTTTGTTACTTCTTCACGTCTAAAAGGTTGGAGCAATTTTAATAAAATTTGGTATGGAGTTAGCCGACACCCTGTTTTAACACATAGGCTACGTTTTACTGCGGGAAAATATTCCAAATAAACCGCGAGTAACACAGCGCGGCACAGCGAGTATTCTATAAATCTATTTAACACACTAATATTATAAAGGCGAAAGTTTGTGAGTGTGTTTGTTTGTTACTTCTTCATGTCTAAACGACTGGAGCGATTTTAATAAAATTTGGAACGGAGTTAGCTGACAGCCCTGAACACATAGGCTACTTTTTACAGCGGGAAAATATCCCGAATAAACCGCGGGTAACACCGCGGGGCACAGCTAGTATTACATATTCATCAAAAATGGCACAATATTCATAGCACTACATACGTATTAGTATAATTGTAGATCTCGAAACTTACCGAGAATAAGATCTTTGTGATGCAAAGCCATCGCCGCTGGACTGTTGTCGTAAACCTTCTGCCAGCCGGTGTAAGGGGAACACCAATTATTACCTGAACAAATGTAAGATTACATCTTTAGTAAGTAAATACCGTAATGGTAACTTATAATAATGAGCAATTAACTCTCAGCACTGTAGGCCGCAAGCTGGACCCATTCATGATGATGTATTTGTGTTTAACTAGGCATAATTATTATCAAGAAGAGCGGACGCGAGCTGAGGGGCATTTGAGAAATAGGTATTTGGAAATACTATTGCAGTCGCGCATTTGCAAATACCGCGCGATAGGGACTACAGTAGCTGACGCTGAAAAGATTATCAAAAAGTATTGGACACGTTTTTTTTCTTTTATCACATAATATAAACATCGCAGAGATATATTGATTTGAAAAGTCGCATGACGTCATGTTTGAGTACACTTTTAAGTGAAAATTCACTAAAAAGTGACGTCACGAGCCCCTACTCCCAAACTTTAACGCGCTAGAACTTTGTCATTTTTTGGTTGATTGCCCAAAGAAAAAATACGTGTACCCATTATTTTTTGATCATCTAACTGATGGACTAAATAGAATTTCGTTTACTGTACCCCGTCATCACCCCTATTCGAGGTTTGGCTCTCGACGATTTCCTCCTCGAAAATTAGATATGTAAAAGAAATTTTAAAATATCCCTATTCCATCCATAGGGAAGGCCTGAAGCCTAGCAGTGGGAACATTAATAGACTAATGATGATGATGATAATAGAAATTTTATTCATAGAATAATAAGTAGTTAAACTAGGGCTCTATGTTTAATTTTTTTTATAAATGCTTATTAAATCTCCACACGAGACGTCTTTAGTGGTGATAAAAATATGTTTTTCTTGTGTCATTTTTTAAGGCTTCTAATGTCTTTGAAACACAAGTTATCGAAAAAAGGAAAACATAGGAGCATAGAATGAAAAAAAAAATATTTTGTGTAGGGGGCGTCCATAAATTACGTGAGATGTTTAAGGGGAGGAGGGGGTCGAGTCAAATCTCATCTAATCTTACGTTGGAGAGAGGGGGGGTCTCGGCAAATATCACGCATTTTTTTGACGTGACAACGTCTTAAATTAGGTTGCGGCTGGGAGTCACTTATGAAAAAGTGTAACGCTCGGTAACGTTACGATGAGTCTCTCGTGTTAAGTTTAAGTTTACATGTACAATGTTTTAGTAAACAAAATATATTTCTATAGTTAAAATTTGTGCAATTCTTATTTTCATTCAATTCCTTGTTCCTATTGTGCAATTTAATTATATTCATATCAATAAATATTCTACCGAGAAAAAGACGTTGTCACGTAAAATCTTCGCGCGTAAAACCGACTTTACAGGCAACCATTTTTTTTCACAGTAGTATCTATTAAGTATTCTATTGTTAAATTTTTATTACACTTATAACTCTCAGCAATATAGATTACTAGTCTTAACTAGTCGTAAATAAAAGCACGAAGCATTTTTTTTATCTTTTTACAATAACAATCCAACGCGTTTACGAAAGAAACCCACATTTTGAAAAATCTCACGTGAGATTGGGGGATGGGGGAGGGGGTTGAATAAAATCTCACGACATCTCACCAGGGGGGGAGGGAGGGACAGAAAATCCAAAAAAACACCTCACGTAATTTATGGACGCCCCCGTATGAAAATCATTTCTTTAGTGATAATAATCAAGGAGGAATCACTCTTAAGTAATGTTGAGATCAATCCGAGAAATCCAAAATGGATGTACTGACAACAATTTCAAATAGTTCTGGGAGTGCGCTCACAAATTTAACATTAAGTAAGGAGATGCACGTTTTCCCCCCTTCCTAAGTACAATATGAGGTCCTTTAAAATAGGCGTGAATTTCTGCAGCTCAACCATGGCTGGTGTGGCAGATCATTACTGCTGCACCAGCTATCTTCTTTTCTGGACTTTACCACCACTTCAGGTGAGGTAGATCATTTACTTCGCTAAATATAAAAAAGTCGGGTTAAATCTTGCTCGAAGGGCTGAATCCATGGTCCTATACATCAGGGTCCTATTTCACCAAGTCGCAATATGTCACTAATATAATGTATGCCAACGGTTTGCTGTAGATTAATCTATTTATTGCATCGATTTCATCATTTATTTTAAATATTTGATACTGGTTTCGCTTATGCGGAATTATACTTCTGTGATTCACCCGAGAGATTACACTTAGTTCACTTGTAGTAGCTCCAGCCTCCAGAAGTATAATTCCGCATAAGCGAAACCAGTATCAAACATTTAAATAATGAAATCGATCTCGAACGATCGATCAGTCGAACGTCACTTACAGGTAAGTTCGTTTGACTTTCAATTATACTTCTGTGATTCGCCCTTCGAAACCCTATCTCTCGGGCGAATCACATCGTATAATATCAGTAGAACGTCACTTACAGGTAAGTTCATTTGACTTTCAATTATACTTCTGTGATTCGCCCTTCGAAACCCCATCTCTCGGGCGAATCACATCGTATAATATCAGTCGAATGTCACTTACAGGTAAGTTCGTTTGACTTTCATTTATACTTCTGTGATTCGCCCTTCGAGTTTACACTTAGTTCACTCAGCACATAATGCGTGCTACTACAAGTGAATTCAGTGTAATCTCTCGGGCGAATCACATCGTATAATATAAGTCGAAGGTCAGTTACAGGTAAGTTCGTTTGACTTTCAATTTTTCTTTGAACGCAAAATCAGTGATATCAAAGGAGAAATTTATTACTTCTTTATAAATTCTTCTGTACAGGAACTCATCTTTTCAAGTTTTCGTGGAGAGCCATTTTGTAACCAACAACGAAATCACTACAATTGTGACGCACACAGCCTCAATCTCACGTCAAAAATTTCCCACAATTTGAAATATATGTGTACTAAAAGAAATACTCTTGTTTCACAACATAATTGTCGTTGAAGTAAGATACGATAAAATTGTAACAAAATGTTACCTATTATGTTTATACACTTTGTGGCATAATGAAGCTGTTTTTACTGAGTCGATCCTTTGTATACTGGACATTTATTCACTTTCTTATAATACTTTTAGTTTGCGTACATGACACAAACAGTCAACATTGTTGAAATCTCATATCAAACTGTACGAGATTTCTATTTACCTCGTATCATGTATAGAGACTGCTAAATCTCAAACGTAAGAGTTCTGATACGTTTGGCAATCCTGCGCAGCGCGGCCGCGCCCTTACAAATACCATTTATCTCATGGAAATAAGAAATAGGAATTATGTTTGGGACACACTTTAAAATAAGCTCACCTGTGTCATCTGTAATTTAAGAAAATAATTTTATACAAAGCTCTCAAAAATTGGTTCACTTGTATTTAGGGGAACACCGCTGATTTAGAGAGAAGAGAGGGTGCAGGAAATTAAAGAAAAATTGGGAAAACTTCATAGCAGCAAAACCCTAAACCAGAAGGTAGAGCTCGGGCGCTATACACAACTCATACACAACGTGTTGATCCCAACGCTAATGTTTGGCAGCGAGAGTTGGGTATGTCAGAAAGACCATGAAAATAAAATAAACGCTGTCGAGACGCGAGCGTTGTTACGAAAAACTTGCGGGAGCGACGCTCGCTGACCGCGTTCGTAATGTGGAGATAAGAAAGAGAAACGCAAACGATGTAAAAGACAGTCTTGGAGTGTATTCCGTAATATATACCAGTATACTGGCCAGTGCTAATGACGTCATGAATCGACGCTATACTGGTGAATTGTTCCGAAATATATTGGCCAGTGCACTGACGTCATAAATCGACGAAATATTAAAAATAGTGAGAATAAAGAACATATTTTATTCACGTCATCAATGAAAAGGAATTCTTTTTGTTCGGAAGCCATTAATGTTCTTTAAATAAAAAAGAAATAAAATTCGAATGCATCTCACACACGCTCGCTCATACGTCATATCCGTTTTCTCGGTAAAAATATGGTAGCATATCAGTACAATATGGCGTCGGATTCGTGTCGTCATTACCACTGGCCAGTATACTGATATATATTTCGGAATACACCCTTGGTGTTGAAATTAACAGAGGCGTAGGTACTTTGTTGGTTCGGATACGTACGGACATGTCTGTGGAAAGAATGACAAAACAGATATTTGTATGCGGTGATAGTGGAAAGATGTAGACGCCGAGGATGGCCAAGACTCTCCTACCACGATGAAATTGATAGCATTCTGAAGGTTTGTGACGTCAGCCGCAAAACCCAACGGGAGTGTATGAAAAGAGTTGGTAATCAATGAGAATGAAACGAAAGATTTGTGTACGGACCGTGCCCTATGACGCTCTATTCTCTCTGCCAACACAACCCGGGCGTGAAGATATTATAGACAGATTTAAATTAAGCTTACCTGTGCTATCTGTAATTTACAGAATAATTATTATTGATAGAAATATCTCAACAATTAGAACAATTTCAATCAAGCCACTTAGCACGAGAGGCTCTGGATTGTATACAGAACGGAAGAACCGAGCAAACTCATTGGCACATTCGTTTTTCGTCAGTACCGTCCCGTCTTTAATCAATCTACGATTATTCGAATTCCCTTTTCTAGACCTTATGTACCGCCAAAAAGCTTATAATATAAAAAGTGTGTTCGGGCAAGGCGAACGGGAGTTGAGTGGGGGATATAAGCAAGAGAAAGCAGTGCGCGCGCACATTTCAAACCCCACTCACATGTATATCAAACTGTGCATCATAATATTTTTTTAATCAACTTCTCTCCTGATGTTAGCTACCTCTCCTGAAGTTAAACTATCTCTATCTTAGAGTTAAGCTATATATCTCAATTAATTCTTCACTTTATTTACCAAAATTAAGCATATTAAATCTGCTAATTAATATCTATTCCACTTACCGCTGCCTATCCAAGCACCGAAGCCGCAGTCCAAATACAAAGCATCGTAATTGGACATGATGAGACGATAGCCCTTTCCGAGTAAACCTTGTATCTGAGGATCCAGGCCAGTGGTCCATACCTTCAAAAATAAACAGTATAAAATAAATAAACTCTCCATATATGTGACAAGTTTATTTCTTACACGGGCACTTCACATGGCTATTCGTATTTACTATTTGTCATTTTGACAGCAGGTTGCAGGTAGAACTGCTGAATTAGCTAACTTCGCATCTGGACTTCACCTTCACTTAACATTAGGTGGGGTGGGGTCATTTGTCAGACCTATCAAAAAAAAATGTTGCCCTTTTCATACTTTATAGGTAGTGAAAAAAAAAAGTTACCAAGTTTACATTTACATACTCACACAAGGAGAAGAACGGGGACAATAACCCATCTCACAGACAACTTGTGGAATCATTTAAGCTGAGCTAATTTTTTTTTTATTTATTTGTTTTCAAAAATAAGTTACAAATTTTAAGCTTATTCTGCCAAACTGCAACACAGTTTGTCGGCAGCAGTTCCCTTACAACTTAAAAAATAAAATAACTTATATATATATATATATTCTTACACTAAGCTAGTAGTTAATATACTGTAATAAGCTATTGTAAACGGAAACGAGGTGGGTATCCAGCCCACCTCGCCTCCGTTCACAACATCACAAGGATCATGGACAGAGGGACAGATAGTGTTTTAAATTAAATTGCAGAGGCCTTAGAGCGGCCATACACGGTACAACGGTCCCACGGATTTCGGTCTGAATGAATTGTTCGTAGAGCGGACTGAACGACCAAGGTCATGACCCGGTCCGTTAAAGTACTTATCGATCTGCAGTGCTCTTCTATCAAGACACAAAATTTTCACGCGCGGATCCGTATCCTATCCGATCCTACTATAATTATAAATGTAAAATTTGTGTACATTTATTACTCAATCAGGAAAAAACGAATGAAAGGATTTGTGTGAAATTATGTACGCATATAGTTTAAAACCTGCATTGAGACAAAGGATATATTTAATCAGGTCCCGAATAATTTTGAAAAAACAATAGTTAGTAGGCCGCCAGTATAATAATAAAAAGATAGAACCATACATACTTGTATGATATAATCATCTTTGTTTAAGAACTGGTCCACGTGCTCGTAGTTCGTCAACGTGCTCGTCCAAAGAATCAGCGGCAGTTTCTTTCCGAAAGCCTGTGAACAAACAAAATAAAAAAAATAATCCTGCTATACTAAAATGAGTTTCGCTCAGCATAATGCCGCAACAATCTGCTGCGACGCTGGTATTCTGCGAAAGACACGCAAAAGTCGCGCAACGCCAAAGGGTCTCAGAAATGTTATAAATATACAAAATTAAATAATAAAGACAACAATATAAAATTAAAAAATTATAAAACGAGCAACATTAATAATAAAAAAAAGCTGTCAAGTACGAGTCGGACTCTCCGATGAAGGGTTCCGTAGCAGCAAGTAACATAATATAAAACCCGCTAACGATCAAACCACGCCCCGCGCCCAATTATAATTATTATTTACTTAGGCACCTATTACAGATTTATTATTAAAAAATTCGTTCTCGGTTTATAAATAAATAAATAAAAATAAAATACTTTTATTTCAAGACATGGTGTCATTAGTAACCAATTTTCTTAATTTATGCATAACGTTTAATGTTTATAGTGTCTTGTAGAACAGGTTTATCCTAATGCAAGCACCAGACTTCACATAAAGTAATGAAATATTGTAATTAAACACTTTATTGTAAATGATTCTTTTTTCTACTTATGTGAAGAAATAAATAAAGAATTTATTTATTTATTACTAATTTATGTTTTTTTTATATATTTATATTTAAGTTGATTGAATGAAAGGTAAATAGCGGTTTATGATTTATAAGGTTTTAAATATAACTACTTACTAGATCTCGTTCAAACCAATTTTCGGTGGAAGTTTGCATAGTAATGTACATCGTATATTCTTTTTAGTTTTATCATTTTGTTATTTTAGAAGTTACAGGGGGCACACATTTTACCACTTGGGAAGTGTCTCTCGTATAAACTATTCAGTTTAGAAAAAAATATGTATATTAGAAACCTCAATATCATTTTTGAAGAGCTATCCATAGATACCCCACACGTATGGATTTGATGAAAAAAACTTTTATTTGAGTTTCAGTTCTAAGTATGGGGTAACCCCAAAATTTCATTTTTTACACTTTTGTGTGAAAATCGGTTCACAGAATACATTTACTTACCAAGTTACAACAGTATAATTCTTACAGTTTCGGAAAAAAAGTGGTTGTGATGTACGGACGGACATGACGAATCTGTAAGGGTTCCGTTTTTTGCCATCTGGCTACGGAACCCTAAAAAGCGAGTCGATCGTGACTTTAGTAAACTATTTATTTATTTAAAGTTAGTTAGGTTTTTATAAGTCCGATAGAAGTCTTTTGTATTTTAGTTTTAATTAATTTATACTTAAAGAATTTCGAACGGGTGGAGGGATGTTGTTCCAACATTTCGTTGCAGAGTAACTAAAACTACCACTTTAGGCAGTCGGTTACACGAGAGTAAACAATTGTGTTGATTCTGGCGTGATTCTCTAAACTTAAAACTAAATTTAACATCAGTCTCTCCTTTTCAAGCTGTATAGAGAATGACAAGGATACACTGTTGTCAAATTTAAGTTTAGATTTAGAGAATCGTGCCAGAATCGACACCATTATGCTTATTTTGCAAGCCTTGTCATGAGCCTTGTTCTAGAAGTAGTTCCAGGTTTTTATCATTTGCTTCGCATTTAATAGAATAGGGGTGATGACGGGGTACAGTAAACGAAATTCTAATGAGTCCTTCAGTTAGATGATCAAAAAATAATGGACACGTATTTTTTCTTTGGGCAATCAACCAAAAATGCCAAAGTTATAGCGCGTCAAAGTTTGGGAGTAGGGGCTCGTGACGTCACTTTTGAGTGAATTTTCTACTCGTTCTAGTGTACTCAAACGTGACGTCATGCGACTTCTCAAATCAATATATCTCTGCAATGTTTATATAATGTAAAAAAAGAAAAAAATACGTGTCCAATACTTTTTGATAATCTACCTGATAAACGAAGAAAAAAAAATAGTCATCATCCCTATTATCATTTATTATTACAAAATCAACATTATAAATAAATAAATAAATAAATATTTCCAACACTTACACCAATTAGCCTAGCCCCAAAGTAAGCACTGTAAGGCTTGTGTTATGGGATGCTAGGGTAACGGATAGAATACATATACAGTACACATATAAGCATATTTATATCGAAATACATATGAAACATCCATGACTGGAGTACAAATGCTCATATTCATTATCGCGAGCTTGTTAACCCGGCGTCAGCACAGTCAAAATATGCAACAGCGACAGTAGGGTTGGGTCGAGAGGACCCGTATAAGAAAACGCCATAATTACAAAAGTTAAAATAAATTTGGTTTGTGGTTGTACTATCTGTATAAAACGATTATCGTTATAGGTTTTGAGTAGAAAAAAACACGCCATGATACGAAACTATCTTTCTAATGTCATTTTCATAAAAGTGTCACAAAATATTAACAAAATGGACAACCTCTGTCTTAAAGTAATAAAATTTTAACAAAACAAACTTTTTTCCATAACATAAACTAATTTGTTACATGTTAATCAAATCTTTAGTAGACTAATAATATTGTACTATTAGTATCAGTCTCATACGTCAGTCATAGTATCCTTATCATCTGCGCAATCTCGGCAGTACAACATTGCATGCTCACTGCAGATGTATTTGCTACTGCTCCGAAAAATATTATAAGTTTTTCTATCTTATTTGGCAGAACAATCTTAGCATCTCTTTCTGACATAAAGTATCTTCACAGGTGGCTCCTCATCAGGTACCTACTCCTAACAACTCTCTTATTCTTTTGCGCATAAGTCTTGGCAAGTGAATGACATCTTTACGATTGCGCAAATGCTCACGAAAAAGTATAAGGCTTAAGTTTCTTTAGAAATTGGCGTTGCTTTGACGTAGTGTTGTTATTCTTGTTATGTATTATGTACGCATTTATTCCAGACATATTTAGCCAAAAATAACAAAATAAACAATATAAAACAACAAAAAAACATTTGTTTAAACGGCGCAAAATTACGACACGAATAGTATAGTTGGGTCATATTTACCTTTTTCGTGTTTGGCCGTGTCTATCACTCGCTGGGGCCGCAACACGACTGAATGGCGATATCCCACGTGGAGGGGGGATCATTAGCCCCAGCTACTGAGAAGTTTGGCAAAGTCGCACAAACATTTTAAGAAACACGCTCATTTGAAAACTGCTCGGGTCAAATAGACCCAACTGTGCGAACGCCGGGTTAAAGACCCTGTCTTTCCAGTCCATTAAGTACCTATGTAGTAGTGTTGCCAGGTCTGATTTGTTTGAAATCGGTACATGAGGTCAAAAAAATCGGGACTTAGGGTTGCAGATCGGGACAGTAAACAAAAAACAAGGGGTTTTTAAGTCTGGGTTTAATTTATTGCGTTTTAAACTACTAGTGTAAGTAATGTATTATACTAATTACCTAAATTTCATTTATTGATTAATCGAGACATTTAGCGTCCCCAACAGGTACAAATCGGGACGCGTCCCCAGACCCCTGAAAATCGGGACATCCCGCGCAAATCGGGACACCTGGCAACACGGTCTTTAGTTTGGGATCCACCTAAGGGTGAAAATCAGAATCAAATACGTTACTATGAAAACGTCTAATGCACCTTATAAGCCTTGTCTTGCGCCTTGTTCTGAAAGTAGTTCCAGAGCTTGAGGAACCCGCCGGAGCTTAGGTCCCAGCGGTTCTGCACCATGAAGTTCTGGATTGATTCCGAAGCGTTCCAACACTTCTCGCTCACCTCGTCCCCGCCCATATGGAATATGTCCGTTGTTTCGAATACCTCTGAAATGCAACAAGTCAAATTAAAAGGAGAGCAGACCCAAAACAGACAAACGGGGCGGCTACAACAGTTACGGATTACGGTTATATTTTAATTTGATTAGATCTTACTGCACTTCTACTTATACTTCTGCAAAAAATATTCAATCGAGCGAGCGAGATAGAACTGTACGCTTCAACGCAGCGCGAGCGAAACGGCGACTGCATTTTCTATCCTCTCTCTACAAATGGCTGAGCTGTGCTGTTGTCCTTTTCTTGATAACAAATGTCGAAAAATTAAATATCATTCATGACAAACCGCGTTTTTGAGAAAAGAAATGTTTTCATAGTTTTACGAATGAAAAGTGTTGCCGTGCTTGTTATTTGATCTTGAACTATTAGTTCTTTATAAAAGCATCGAAGGCATTGTTTTATCTTAATAACACAGAATATACGCAATATTGTTATATTGAGTGCACATGCAGCGTATTTAAATGTCCAATTGTATTGTGACTAAAGCGCATTGTGATCATGTACCACAATTTAAGCGGATCGGTTTTGAGCCGCGCCGTATCTTCCCTTTTTATTTTAATCTAAGGATTAGATACATTTGGAGTGTAAATCTGAAGTGGCTCTACAGTGTATTGGCAGATCTTAGGTAAAAACATATGCATGTTAAGACAAACTAGAACGTTGTTTCGTTGTTTGTTCTAAACAATAGTTCTAAAGCTCCCTATGCCTACTGTGCCTTATATCTAGATACTTTCCCGTCTAGTTTGAGGACTATTTCTTTGGATGTCTTCCGAAGCAATAGTCGTGGACCAAGGGCGGATCCAGGGGGGGGGGGGTCATGGGGGTCATGACCCCCCCTGGGCTGGGTACAAATGGACCAAACCCAGGGGGATTTTATTTAAGTACTTTCAATATTTAATATCTAACGACTATATGACCCCCCCCCTGGGGCTAGGGCTGCCATCCGTCCGGGTTTCCCCGGATTTGTCCTAGTTTACGGGGCGTCCGGGGAGCGTCCGGGCGGGGTTTTATTTGTAGTCCGGATTAAAAAAAGTACGGCAATGCCTGAGTGGCCCTTGGTGCTGCAAGTGTCCATGGGCAGCAGTGACCACTTATTATGAGGTAGACTGCTACCTCGTTTGCCTAGATCAACATAAAAAAGTTGATTTGTGACATTTTCAACTGTTTTTTTTTGTCTGTCCGGATTCTGGGCAACAAAATCCAGGGTTATCACGCGTCTTATCCTGGTTGCCACATTTTAGAGATGGCAGCCCTACCTGGGGCCAAAGCTGGCTTTATGACCCCCCCCCCCCCTCCCCTGGCGCCAAAGCTGGATCCGCCCTTGTCGTGGACTTTATGACCAATGAATTTCTATGCGTCACAATTTCCCGTCAATATTTCCGTACCCGTAGTGGAGTAGAAAAAGTGTTGGCGGGCAGTTATAAAACTTGATTTATATCATTCAGTAAGCAATGTACGGATAGGTATTGGAGTTCATCATCAGCCTATTAATATCCCACTGCTGGCGCACAGGCCTTCCCTATGGATGGAATAGGGAGATTGAGCCACGACTCACCACGCGGGCACTGTGCGGATTGGTGGGTGCTAACGACTGCAGATGCAGCCGGGACTAACGCTTAACGTGTCTTCCGAAGCACGGAGGAACTAGAGATAGTAAATTATTGGTCACCCATCCAATGACCGACCACTGCGAAAGTTGCTTAACTTCAAAGATCGCAGCCGAACGCGATAACTACTTGCGCCATCGAGCTCCTCTAGGTATTGGAGTTGCAGCGCCAAAATTCTTTAGCTTAATCAGGAAACATACAAAAACGTCAACTACGGAAGATATAGATGTTAAACGTACCAGCCATGTCTGCATAAATGTCGCCCAAGTAGTCGTACAACTCATCTTTGGTGGGGTTCAGCTGACCGCATGGTGGTTCCACGCAGTAGGATCTCCATGGCTCAGCCTAAGAAAAAGGTTAAGCAATCAAGTGAGGCTTTTAAAAACTCTCACGAATAGATAAAAAATGAAAATTACATATTAATCTGTATATTATTGTATGTTAGTATTAAAAGGGAATCGATGCTGACAGATCTATGAACGTACAGCTCAAACCACTATAAACGGATTACGCTGAAATTTGGCATACATTTAGCTATTGTATGTAGGCGTATTCTAAGAAAGGATTTCCCTAAAACTCACCCCCTAAAGGGTAAAACGATATTTCCACGCAGACAACGCTGCGGGCACCCACTTGATAAATAAACCTGTAAACTTTAAAGTACTGCGATAAATTCATACAGAAAACGATTTCTGTGCAACTATCGCATTGCACTAAAAATACTAAAATTGCAGAGTCATGCAACTAAAATAGTTGCAGATAAATCGTTTTGAAACTATCGCAAGAGTGGGCGCCCTCGAAATGTACCTATACTTTCTTGAGGTCCGCACGACTATCGCACTGCAATTAATTGCAAATGTGTTTTAGCTCTTAAACGCGATTAAAAGATTTGAATTTGAACTAAGAATGTTAATGCAAGTTGGCCTAAGAAATTGGTAAATATCTATTGTAACACATTTGCTCGTAGTGTCTCTTATTGCACCAATTTCAATATCATAATCTATCACATTACACACGCGTGCGGTAATGTAAAGTAAAACGCACGGTATTATGTTCCAACTAAAAACGAACGATACTTTTTTAAATCTTAGCAAAGAGTTTTTATGTCAGAAAGGTAGCCAACATTTTCTTAATAAAATTAACTTTGAGAGATAAAATATAATATATAAACATTTAATTCTTTAATTTGATTCATTTTGACAATAAATTACAACCATGTATCGGTAACAAATTCACAAAAATATTAATTTACTTTATTAGTAACACTGACTGTTTTTTGTTCCTTTGCCTAAAAAGGCGTTGATGCGCGCTCATCGCTAATCTGTGAAAAAGTTATTTCATTTTCTTTATCTGTATTGTTATCATTTGAAAATATTGTCAAGTAGTAACGAATTTATTAATTTGACACCGCCAAAAGTCGAAAAAGGCTACGCTAAGCCTCTTGCCCGAAAAATCCACGGATGGATACTTACAGTCAAGCGTATCAAAATTTCATCTTAAGGAAAACAAACAAAGGTGCAAATTCATTTTCAGAAAGTACGTACGTAGGTAGCATTTTTTCCTCGCAAATGTGTTATAAAACGTCGTGGGACACACGTGCGGTTTGATAATTACAGCCTCTGCCTTCTTATACCCTTATCTTCTTATACAATATCGCTCCGGCTGTATTTCTCAACATACCGCACTTATATCATAATGTACTATTATATTATTATAACTTAACTAGCAAACCAGTGAACCAAATGTTCACCAAAACCTGATTTAAAAAATTAAAAAACAAAAATTATTTAATTAATTTTGTGTGGTTTCGTTTGAAATTCGTGATTTCTCGAAAACCGGAAGTGCTACGTTACTCAAATCCGGTTTGTAGTCTTATCAGACTATTCTTAACTTATAACTTAAATATTCTCTTTATCTATCTCTTACGGTTTGGCCGCTGAAACAGCACCACAGACGGACGGACGGACTTGTCTAATAGATAAGAGATTTATAGTTACGTTACCTTGAAACAGACAGTGAGGTTGGTGTCCTGCCACCCCTCGCCCACGTGCGCCGGCGCGTCGAACTCGGGCAGCACGCGCACGCCGCGCTCCAAACCGTACTTGACAACGTCCCTGATCGCTTCTTTACTGTACACCTGCACGGATTACATCAAACAAATATTACAAAGTAAGTAATACGACTACTTAAGGTTTACAAGCTACAAGCAAGCGACTTTGCTAGCAGCTTGTAAACTCGCCCTGTGTCATTGGCTTTTTTACCATCTGCTACTTCATGATACGGGGCGAGTTTATAAGCTACTAGCGAACTCGCTGGCTTGTAGCTTGTAAACTCCTCGACCCGTGTCATCGAGGCATTACTTACCTACAAATCTTGTAGTAAAGCCTCGATGACACAGGGCGAGTGTTTACAAGCTTCAAGCCAGCGAGTTCAGAGTAGTAGCAGATATGACACGGGAAGCGTTTACAAGCTGCTAGCAAACTCGCTGGCTTGTAGCTTGTAAACTCGCCCTGTGTCATCGAGGCTTTAAAGTGGCCATACACACTACGAGAAATCGTTACGATTAGACTGTACCGTCCGAACGGTACCGATAAATCGTAGCGTGTATGTTATAAAACTGCACAGTTTCCTATACGTACGCCACGTACGATAAACTGTTCCGTTCGAACTGTACAGTCTGATCGTAACGATTTCTCGTAGTGTGTATGACTACCATTACTTCAAGATTTGTAGGTAACTAATGCCTCGATGACACAGGTCGAGGAGTTTACAAGCTACATGTCAGCGAGTACGCTAGTAGCTTGTAAACTCGCCCCGTATCATGGAGTAGCAGATATGACACGGGAAGCGTTTACAAGCTGCTAGCAAACTCGCTGGCTTGTAGCTTGTAAACTCGCCCTGTGTCATCGAGGCTTTAAAGTGGCCATACACACTACGAGAAATCGTTACGATTAGACTGTACCGTCCGAACGGTACCGATAAATCGTAGCGTGTATGTTATAAAACTGCACAGTTTCCTATACGTACGCCACGTACGATAAACTGTTCCGTTCGAACTGTACAGTCTGATCGTAACGATTTCTCGTAGTGTGTATGACTACCATTACTTCAAGATTTGTAGGTAAGTAATGCCTCGATAACACGGTTCGAGGAGTTTACAAGCTACATGTCAGCGAGTACGCTAGTAGCTTGTAAACTCGCCCCGTATCATGGAGTAGCACATATGACACGGGAAGCGTTTACAAGCTGCTAGCAAACTCGCTGGCTTGTAGCTTGTAAACACTCGCCCTGTGTCATCGAGGCTTTACTACAAGACTTGTAGGTAAGTAATGCCTCGATGACACGGGTCGAGGAGTTTACAAGCTACAAGCCAGCGAGTTCGCTAGTAGCTTGTAAACTCGCCCAGTATCATGGAGTAGCAGATGGTAAAAAATCCGATGACACGGGGCGCGTTTACAAGCTGCTAGCAAACTCGCTGGCTTGTAGCTTGTAAACACTCGCCCTGTGTCATCGAGGCTTTACTACAAGATTTGTAGGTAAGTAATGCCTCGATGACACGGGTCGAAGAGTTTACAAGCTACATGTCAGCGAGTTCGCTGATAGCTTGTAAACTCGCCCCGTATCATGGAGTAGCAGATATGACACAGGAAGCGTTTACAAGCTGCTAGCAAACTCACTGACTTGTAACTTGTAAACACTCGCCCTGTGTCATCGAGGCTTTACTACAAGATTTGTAGGTAGGTAAGTAATGCCTCGATGACACGGGTCGAGGAGTTTACAAGCTACATGCCAGCGAGTACGCTAGCAGCTTGTAGCTACCAACAGACTGATTCAAACATCGAGCAGTTACACGCTTAAACAAATAAAATAATAACTTTAATTGCTATTTCTTCTTTCAAATGTTTAATACTTGTAAAGGTATTCATTTGACATTGTGGGTACCTACAATGCAAAAAGATGGCGCTGCCTTGCAGCTTAAGAAAGGCTAGAAAGAATTTGATACGGCCGTTAGGGCCGCGGTAGCATAATAGGGGTGATGACGGGGTACAGTAAACGAATTCTATTTAGTCCGTCAGTTAGATGATCAAAAAAGAATGGACACGTATTTTTTCTTTGGGCTATCAACCGAAAAATTACAAAGTTATAACTTTGACGTCAAAGTTTGGGAGTAGGGGCTCGTGACTTCACTTTTAAGTGAAAATTGTACCAAAATGTGACGTCATGCGACTTTTCAAATCAATATATCTCTACTATGTTTATATTATGTGAAAAAAGAAAAATACGTGTCCAATACTTTTTGATATCTACCTAATAAACGAAGAAAACAAAATAGTCATCATCCCTATTGGTCAATGCGTTCGCCTGAATAGCGAAGGGTGCGGGTTCGAGTCCCGTCTACTACCAGGTCCGCTTGTATTTTTTTCTAGTAATATAAATATTATTTATTTACAATACATTTCTTTCTTTATAGATATTAACGGGATTGTTACCATGTACCTTGTTTTTTATGAGTCTCCGATATTTCGGCACTGTTTAAACCGCAATTACTTCAGTTACTCCATGATCATGGCGCTTGCAACAGTGCCGAAATATCGGAAACTCATAAAAAACAAGGTACATGGTAACAATCCCGTTAATATCTATAATGTTAGTGACCATGAAAGTTTAAAACAATATAACATTTCTTTCTGTTGCCAATTCTTCACCCAGGATTTCCTTTTTTGCGCTAACACCATTGAAAAAGCCGAGACCCTACCTACCGATCTTCTGATTTTTTGATACCACGAGGACCAGCAACAACGCGTGAGTTTAGCTCAACATACCCCCGAACACTGAATAGCAGGCATGTGTGTAGAGACCCGACCGCCGCCGGCGCCTAGATTGTCCCTGCAGCAAGGATGTCAGTAGGCCGCTTTACACTACCCAATTTTAAGGGCCCTATCGAAAGGGTGGGCGTGTCCCCTAGCTAGGGTAGCAATTAATATGACGCCCAATCAATCGGACCCGAACTCAGTCTGAACGTCGTCACCCGATGCATTCTGATCAAATTTTTATAAATTTCTCTAATCCTTCGGCACTATTCTCTTTATTTAAAGGGAAATATGTAAATGATCATCATAGTTTTTTTTTAATTCTTACGTAAATAAATTACAATTGGTAACCGAATAGTTACATTACCAATTGTTTTTTTAGAATCTATTACTATTTTTCTCTGATTATTTAAATATGTGCCGTGCCTTATTTAATTCTTTTTGCCACAAAAATTACAGATCTAAATTAAAATGAAGTCACACTTATTTCTCTTCATTAGATGCCGTCTCGCCAATAAAGTAAATCAACTACAAAAATGTCCCTTCAAATTGCGTAGTCTAATAGGCTTTTAACAACTTCGGGCAAAATTTAAATAAACATAGGTACTTATATACACTTATATACACAGAGATATCAGTCACGCCGGTGTGGTGAGTAAAATGTTTTTTCCCAACTCAAAAAATGCCTAACGCGCCTAAAGAAGTTTATTCAATTCAAAAATAGTAAAAAAAGCTTGGCGCATTATTGTGCGATTTACAGTCGAAGCCTTTATTCGTGTCGTGTTTACCGTTGATTTGCCATTTTTTTTTCATTCATTGAGCTTTGTAATAATACATTTTATGTTATTTGTTTCTTAGGTTTTCACGCACATTACTCATTCAATAAAACTAATTTTAACGGGTTAATGCACGAAACTTTATTTATTTATTGACGTTTCACAGCCTTTTCAGGTCTTATTATTCTGACGAAGCAGACGTGAAAAGGCTTCGAAACGTCAAACTTTATTTATTTATTGACGTTTCGCAGCCTTTTCAGGTCTTATTATTCTGACGAAGCAGACCTGAAAAGACTGCGAAACGTCAATAAATAAATAAAGTTTCGTGCATTAACATATTATGTTATAAATTTACAGATTAAGGACATTTAACATAACATCCAGAAGAAAACTACGAGAAATAACAAAAGAAAAATATATACACCATAAATTAACAAAAAAAAACTAAAATTAAATATGACCAAAAGTATTAATATACGTGTTAGTATTGGTAAGTAATTTTTGGGCAGAGGACGAAATATCATTTGTTTAAATTTCAGATAATTCTGTTATCAGTAATAAACGCTGTATTGAAAATTTTGCCCATACAAATAAAATATGGTCATTAACACAAAAAAATTAATCCCAGTGAGAACAACTGGCATCCTCCCTAAGTTTTAGAGACGATGGAGATGAGCGGGAATTCGGCTGTGACCAATTCTTTACCGACTCAAAGTGGAGATGAAACTTCTATCCAAAAATTTTGTATGTTTCTCAAACCATGCGTTAATACATGGGATGGAAACAATTTGCTCTAACCAGTTTCCTTTGAACAATCTAGTCGAAGAGAGCAAAGCATTCTAAGGTTTTACCATATTTTATTTAACAAACAAAAGTAAGTCAGATACAGGAACTTTGGAATTACAAACAGCTAGGTTTAAAGAGGACTTGGCAAGAGTGTCAACTATTTCATTACCAAATATTCCAGAATGACCTGGAACCCAAGCGAATTCTATATCTACACCAAAGTTATTCAGACTACTAACACCATTTTTAATTTCATGAATAAAGTAGTCGACAGATGGAATGAAACATTTCTTCGAAATAGCTTGGAGGACACTCATAGAATCAGATAACAACAATACGTTTTTGTTAAGATGGCAGCAATTGTTCAATATGTATTTAAAGACAAATAATATAGCCAAAGCTTCAGAAGAAAAACAGAGAAGTAATTGTTACATTTATTCAAATACTTTTCCTATTTTGTTATATGCATCGTAAAAAGCAAAACTAGGTCATTCACTGGTTTTAGAGCCGTCAGTTTAAATATTGACACATTCAAGTTTTGAGATAAAGAATTCCAAAAATTCTAATTTGTTATTAAAATGAGATAAATATATTTTCATGTCCAATATAGAGTAAAAATCGGAATTAAAACAAGGCACTAAATTGGACCACTAAACAACATCCTGCAACTCAAAGTTTTGTTAGTTTGTACAGAAATTTGTTAAAAAACAAACATTTCTAAGTACCTAGACGTAATAGCGTTATCTCGTGTAACTAGTTAAAACCATATTTATCAGTTATGTAGTAGATTCTTCGAACTGAGAGTGGAACAATTCCTGCCTGCTTTTACTTCCAAAGAGTTAATGGGAGAGTATAGTTATAATACGTAGCGCTCTATTTTGTAAAATGTCTAATTTCTTCAGTAACTTATCGGAAGCATTTGAAAAAAAACAGAGCCATAGTCAAAATTACTGACAATAAAAAAAAATAGCATGATTCTTTAAGAAAATTGGATCGTATTTTCCACAAGATGGCGCTGTTTGAGTGTTTGCATCGCGATATGGTTTTGCTTCACAGAGCGTAATATAAGATACCTAGTGTCACAGTTAAAATATTAACTACACATATTAGGTGAAAACTTTTATATTATTTTTGGACACGCTGCTGATTTACGAAGTATGCGTGCAAGTGCACTGTGCAACTATGAGGGCTACCGTTTTCTGCCTCACCAGATGGCGCCACTGTTGAGTGAGGTCCTAAATTGTAACTTTTAAAGTTTATTATTACGCACATGAAATCAAAGGTTACATTTAGATCGTATTTTAACACAAAAGAACCATATCCTAAACATAATAGGCCATGCCACAGTGACGCCCAGTTCCGTTTTATTCGGAAAAAATGGGAACATAATCATTTTTCTAAGCTCAAATTTTTAATAGCTCAAATTTCAATGCCACATAACTCATATTTGCCATAATTAAGCCGAATTGTTACCAATTATTCACAACATTATTTTAATAAGAAATAAACCCGCGTAGTCAACCAACAAGCAATAACATTTGACATTTCGGAGACCTCACGCTACACTAGCGCCTCTAGCGGCGGATTCATACGCGATAGCCCTCATTAGACCATCGGTCGGATTAGGTCATGGATTAGGTATAATCGAGACCTATTCCACGTAATCCTCATATTTAAAAATACCTATTCCGTATATTTATGGAGTATCCCCGATTCCCGATACGTTATTATGTGTATTCAAAGTGATTAGGTCTGAATTGTATTGGATATCTATTATGAAAATACCATGTACTCCCAGTATTTTTAGTAATAACACGCTTTTATTAGGTCGACCTGTGTATGTAACTGTGTAATGGAATCTAAGAATCTGAATTACATGAACTTCTAATTCTTGTATCATCATGAAACTTGGCAATTATATGTATTTTAGATGATAATACAATATTATGGTACCATCGAGCTGGTCTGATGATGGGACTGGAAGGTGGCTGATGGAACCTTGGACTGCCTACTAGTAAACATATCGAGTTTGGGCTCATTAGATTCGTCTTAACATATTCTATTCATTTTTCCTGATGATGGACTGTAAGGTGGCTAATGGACCTTGGGCTGCTTCCTAGTAAATAAATCGAGTTTGGGCTCATGAGATTCGTCTTAACATAATAAAACTTGGCAATAGGGATGATGACAAATTTTTTTTTCTTCGTTTTTCAGGTAGATTATCAAAAAATATTGGACACGTATTTTTTCTTTTTTCACATAATATAAACATTGCAGAGATATATTGATTTGAAAAGTCGCATGACGTCACGTTTGAGCACACTTATAAGTGAAAATTCACTCAAAAGTGACGTCACGAGCCCCTACTCCCAAACTTTGACGCGCTATAACTTTGTCATTTTTTGGTTGATTGCCCAAAGAAAAAATACGTGTCCATTATTTTTTGATCATCTAACTGACGGACTAAATAGAATTTCGTTTACTGTACCAATCACCCCGATTATATGCAGATTAGATGACAATACAATATTATGGTACCATCGTGCTGGTCTGATGATGGGACTGGAAGGTGACTGATGGAACTTTGGACTGCCTACTAGTAAACATATCGAGTTTGGGCTCATTATTATCGTCTTAACATGTTCTGTTCATTTTTCCTGATGACTGAAACTTAAAAGTGTAAAATAGGTAAATTAATTATTATTAATATTATTACTATTTACTCTTATATTATAATTATTTACTCCACTAAAAAGCCAAAAATAAACAAACCATACTCTCTGTTCTTCATTAGGGCCTTAGAGTAAACCATGTTTATAGTCTATTTTAACTTAAACGAGTATATATATATACAACAGGGTATTTGACAGTATCGAAAATAAAGTGCCAATTGTTAGCATCTGTGTTTAGAATAAATATTGGCAGGGGTATTTCTTTTTTATAAAAAAAATATTCGTAATTTTACTAAAAACCCACGAAAAAAATAATAGTTGTCTTATCTATTGTCACGTGACCCAAAACGCTTGGGATTGGCGGAGCAAAAAATTACATCACACGCAAGTAAACTTCCGGTTAAAGTGACATTACATTGTATCGTTTGACGTTCTAATTACAGTCGTGTGACGTCACACAATAGTAAGACGCCATATTGTCCAGATAAACGTTTTCGCGGCAACTTGAAAATGGAGTTTTTGATTTGGTTATCTTTACTGAAATACACAACAGAATGATTTATATCCACTATTTACGGAATCCATAAACATTAGTCAATAACGTGAGATCGTTTTCTAAAACTTGTCAAATACCCTATTGAAAAAACGTGGGGCGCTATTCACTACAATATTTCACAGCTTCAAGGGACCGCAGACCTGAGTATACGGTTTCAATTTCAACTCGATACCTCTATGGTGGGTATGGGGTAATTTGTTGCACCTGCACCTTGTCGACGACGCCTGGAAATTTTTTCTAGTAAAATTTTTCATTATTGATTGATGGTGTTGTGTTACCTTGGTTTCGCCGAGCTTTCCCATCTTGGTGAGCTGTGGCCTCCTGCTGGACTCGAACGGGAAGCTCTGGCTGTCGGTGATATGCCAGTGGAACGTGTTCAGCTTCACCGCCGCCATAGCATCTACCCACGGACAAAGAAACATCATCAGCATCAGCCTACTAATGCCCCCACTGCTGGGGCACACGACTTCCCATGGATGGGACAGGGAGCCATGGGGTGCTAACGACTGCAGATGCAAGCGGGATCAACGGCTTAACGTGCCTTTCGAAGCAAGAAGGAGCTCGAGATAGTAAATTTTTGGTCACCCATCCAAAAACCGACAACTGCGAAAGTTGCTCCACTTCAACAAACGCAGTCACCCGCGCCATCGAGCTCCTCCTCCTCCTCCAAGAAACGTCAATTTACTAAAAAATGTTCACATTCTGCCATTATTTTTTGAAATTTGAATCCAACAACTAAGATTCATTTACAAACACACACGTCCCCACAAACTTAAACTTAACTAATATTAGTTATCTGTACATAAATAAAATAAATATCATTATAGTATTGTTTGTGACTAGCGGGATACCTACCATGTACATTGGACCTTGTTTACAACAACAAACAAGGTACATGGTAGCAATTCCGCAAATAACCGTAATTATGTACTAATCTGTGCTAATATTATTAATGTGAAAGTGTGTATGTTTGTTACGCTTTCACGCAAAAACCACTGAAGCGATCATGCTGAATTTCGGTATGGAGATAGATGGACTCTTAGATGGTTAGACTTGTGGCTACTTGTGACTTGTGGCTATTGTGAAAAAAAATTGAAGAAGAAAACTAAACTTGAAGAGAGGTGAAATGATGTATGAAATCACACTCATATTATAAAGGCGAAAGTTTGTGAGTATGTGAGTGTGTATGTTTGTTACTTCTTTACGTCTAAACGGCTGGATCGATTTTAATGAAATTTGGTATGGAGTTAGCTGACACCCTGGATTAACACATAGGCTACGTTTTACTGCGGGAAAATATCCCTAATAAACCGTGAATACGCCGCGGGGCACAGCTAGTATTATATAAGTAGGTAAGTTTTTAGAAGTTACTTACCGATTGTCTTCTTAATGGATTCGACTGTATAGAAGTTCCTGGCGGTATCGAGCAGGATCCCCCTGTACGGGTACACCGGTTTGTCTGTCACCTTCACATCTCGTACCAACTGTGAATTTGACAATACACTCTTAATAGTTAAGTAGGCGAGCAAAATTTACAGGTCATTTGGACTTTCCACCAGGATAATGATCCGAAACACACTGCAAATGTAATAAAAGACTTTTTAAGGAACCAGTCTGTGACAGTTTTGGATTGGCCCCTGTACACAGTGGCGGCGCTAGGCGTCGGCGACCTCGGCCACAGGCGACGGCCTCGCGCCTGAGGGGGCCTCGCAAAAAATTTTTACAAGTTACGTATTTATTTTCGTTTCTCCTGGCCTGGCTTAGGTAGCCGACCCCGAACAATTCGGGGAAAAAGCTAAGCAGATGATAATGACTTTTATTATTTTCGAACACCTGCGGGATGGAAGCGAGTAGTACTTTACAGGTATTCAGAATCGTCTGTCTGGCAACACTATTTTTGTAATTAAATTTCTATGTTTGTAATTATTTTTTGTCAACATTTGATTATCAACAATAAAACTCGTTTACTCATACGTTATTTTTAAATTTGGCTCATTTAATTTAACTGTTTTTTACTGCGAAGTAAAATAGGCCTCGCGAACTTGATGTCGCCGACGTAGACATGTGGTCTAGCGCCGCCACTGCCTGCACAGTCCTGATTTAAACCCAATAGAAAAATTGTGGTACCAGGTGAAGAAGACAGTGTTGACAAAACGGACATCAAACATCGATCAACTTTACACAGCTTTTAGAGAAGCTTGGAAGCAAATTCTGGAGGAAGCTTGTAAAAAATTGATCGTTTCCATGCCTAAGAGATGTCGTGCTGTCATTTCTGCCAAAGGACATGCGACCAAATATTGATACGTACCGGAAAGTTTTATAAATGTGTTAGGAATATTGTGTAATAAAGATAATTTCAATAATAACATTTTTTCTTTTCTTCTAAGCAAATCGAGTGTCTTTAATCAGCTGGCCAGCTATAAATACGTTGAAAAAGTTTGTGTTACGTTCCCATAGTGAGCAGTGTCTAAACTACTAACGAACACAACTATTTTTTGTCCCACATTGTAAGAATACAACGTCATGTATAGTTTAATAACAATTACACTAGATTTAATTTTATCTAATTTTAATACCATAAGTAAGTTTTTTGTGGTCAATTAGGAGGTGTCTTTAATTATGTGACCACCACTGTATAAGTAATAACAAATATCCGAGTACAGGGAGTTTTTGTTTTACTTTTGTTCAAATTGATGCTGTCTTTTAGCTATATCAATAGAATAAGAAAACATTAATTAGCCAAGCATTAGATATGACATCTCCAATCGATCATAGCTATCTTGCTTTCTAAGTGCTTAGGTTAGGACTGAATTGGATCGCCTGAATGCTAGACTACAAATCTATTATTGTTAAACAGTCATACAACAAAAACTACCCGAGTACACCATATTGGTATTCATATTATTTTTTGTATGGATTCAACAGTGCGACGATTTCTCGCAGACCGGTTTTGGGTCATTGACTTGAGTGACACCTTATATTATTATATTCCTCGATTTACATAAACCCAAGTGAGTCCTCTCTGTGACATTTTAAAATAAAAAACAGTTACCCATATTGGACAACATACTAATCTGGTTTTTTTATAATGTTCATTTGGATTTGGACAAAATCGCCTTTCACCTTTAGTATCCTCCCAATACTCGTGCTAAGCTTTTTAATACCATTATGAAAAACAACATGGGTTTCAGTGTGGTCGTACTAGGAAATTTTCTTCTCAGCACGTCCATCATATTTTGCTAGATCTAGTTAGTAGAAATTTTTAAAACAGTGGTAAATAATAATACAAAGTCTTAACTGGCAGTCGTGGCAGGACAAATACTCGTTAAGAGCCCTTTTACAAAATTGCGCCGCTGCCGTACTGATCGACGCGTAGGTAGATTTGCACTAGTATATCTTCATTTTATGGGTGATGTTTCTTTTAAAATAATTATTAATGAACTAATTATAAAAATATATACATATTTCAGTCAGTTCAATGATGGTAGATTGTTTTATGAAAGTTTATGATAGTAATTCTATTTAATTCAATATCTAAAAACGAGGTAAACCTGCATTATTTTTTAGGAAAACTCACGGAGGTTAAATGTTTTTTGATAATTAATGAAATGGAAAATCGAAATTCTAATACATTATGTTACAACAAAAAAATATTTCTGATGTTGTAGTAATTAGTTTGATTTAATTTATTGAACATTATTAAGAGATTGACGTTTGAAGTTGTGCATATTTTCGTTTTTTTCGTAAACTAGCTGCGGAAGAACGATCAGTACAAAAAAAGGAAAAAAGTATTTACAAATCTTCTACATTAACTTACAATAGGAAGAATAAATCTACTGTTTACTTTTATTGGAAATAGTCAAAATCTTTTCTAAGGGGGTAAACGAGGCGCTCAAAAATTACAAAAAATGTGAAAAGGCTCTTAATACAATTTAGATACAGTTAGCTTGAATAGTATAGTTAAGTTTAGTTTTAAACTTTGTCGCAGTGATAGCACCTAAATCAATCTATCATAATGTACAGTTTCTTTTATTTATTACCTAATGTAACATCTGAATATATAACGCGTCATGTTGTTTGTCCGGGATGGACTCCTAAACTACTAAACCGATTTTAATCAAATTTGCACCGTGTGCAGTTTGAACGATGGGATAGCTTACATCTCAATTTATAGTCGTTATATGAAGTTCGCCGGTACAGCTAGTAATTTATATGGATCTTAGTTCTACCGTTCCGTGAGGAGCTCGATGGCACAGGTGGTTAGCACATTCGGCCTGCGATCGTGAAAGTTAAGCAAATGGTCATTGGATGGGTGACCAAAAACTTATTATCTCGAGCTCCTCCGTGCCTCGAATGGCACGTTAATCCGTTGGCCCCGGCTGCATCTACAGTCGTTGGCACCCACCGCACTGGACCCGTTAAGTGGGTGACGGCCCAGTCTCCCTATTCCATTCATGGGGAAGACCTTTTTTTTTGTGACGCAGGCAAAAACTCTGTTTACAGACGACGGCGCCTTTAAGAGGCACACCGCCGAACGGACCTCACACCTGGCTCCCGCAAACCTTACGAGCCCCCACAGTGGCTGTCCACTGAGGACCCCATAACTCTTACGGGTGCTTTACGGCATAATATCAGCTAAAAAACCCTGCGAATACCCTCCAAGCTGCTTAGTGCGAAACCGCGGGATCCCCGTTTAGGGATTCTTAAAATTTTATTTAATTAAACCCACAGAACACAGAAAGAGGTTAGAAGTACAAAAAGGAGCAAATGCTCATAAAGTGACCAAAACTTGGTTCTAATTGTGTCGTTGCTCTCGGTTGTGACCGCTGATTGGTACGATTCTTTGATGTCGCGTCCTTTGATTGGCTATTATCTATTACGTGGAAGTGTAGTGGGGGCGAGCCGGCGACATCAGTTCCCGTACAAACCGTCTATGAACACTCTTCTAACCTCTTTCTGTGTACTGTGATTAAACCTTATCTATATTTAGGTCCACGCTTAGGCTAATGTCTTACCAGTAAATGATCTCTGATTTCGTCGTAAACAAAAAGTTGTGTGAGCGTCTCCAGGCCGTGGCGGATCCCAAAGAATGTGTTGGCGGTGATGGTGGCGTTCAGGTCGGAAGTCTTCTTGCCGTTAGACTCCTTGGGGCCCACGTATAAGTTATAACTCTCATCCATGTCCAAGGAAAAATCTGTGACATACTCAACCAGTTTAGTTAAGGCTTTGTTCGTATTCGTTCGTTCGTTCGTACTTAGTATTCAAAAGCTAACATCAACGGAGTGTCATTTTCATTTTCAAGGTCTCTTAGTAAGAAACGTGTATAATGCCGATTCGATACGTATAACAACCCAAGCTACAAGCTGTATAAAATACGCGATAAACTGTAGCTCCATAATTTTATAAAAGTACTGAGGGTATTTTTGCAGTGTCTAGCACTGCAAAAATGGACATACTTACATAGGTACCTATACCAAATTATGTAACTTCAACTCCTTTGATCTATATTAATAAAGCTTGTGTACCTTCAATAGAAACTTGCTACTGCTCCGAAGGCGATCGCGATTCAAAGCTATTTAAATGCATTGTGACATGAGCTTTAGTCTCTTTCCCAAATATGAAATGAAATGGATCGCGGAAGGAATAATTTTACAAATCCCGTCCTTTTATAGCTTATAGATTAGGTTGTTATTTAATTTCTATATAATTTATTGATTAGCAAATGGCAAGTTTATTTATTATTATTTTTGTTGCCAATTCATCAAATATAGTATATTCATTAGGTAACTAAACCCGTACTTATAAACTGCGAATATCAGCTAAAAATAAATTCCAAGCTCCTCTCCACTGTAAAACAAAAATGGCAGGCATTGAAGTAAAGTAGGAAAAAATTGGCATCCTTAAAAAATATATATTCAGTGTCTAATTTCAATAAAGGCAATTTAAATGTTGACTTTAATCTTTTACATGGTCATTAAAATACCGGAGAAAAAGATAATACTTGCTAAAAACACCAAAGGACCGTTTAAAAAAATTGAAGTTTTCGAATTCGAGTCGCAAATATTTATAATTACCCAACTGTTTATCACACTCAATAAAATATCTAAAAGAGGGTTTGAAATTCTTCCATATTCTGTTAGTAATGTTTGAAATTGAAATCTCGTTTTGCGAGTGGTTTAAGGATAACGAACCCGAGAACATGTTAATGTAAGCTCAGTCACCTTCTGCAATTGTGAACATAGCCATTATAATATAATATTGTATCGTAGGTATTTATAAGTTTCTCAATAAAGGTGTTTAGTCCAAACAAAACATTTCCTTACGTGGCAATTTATAATTTTATGTATTATTAAGTAAATATGTAATTGTATTAGCGTAAGCAAATCAGTCCACGTTCGGACGTCGTATGTACCGCGTGTGCTAATAAACATAATAGTTTCAACATAATCGGTGTTATCAATTTATCACCAAACTATCATTTAACATCATCATCTCGAAAGGTGTAGAGGAAACTCAACATCTTTATGGTCCTTCGACTAGTGAATTGTGATAGTGTTCTTACGGTGTTAGCGAATCGGTTTGACTGGCCTCCCACAAGCGGGTCTCACCAGTTGGATTGAGAAGGCGCACATAGCACTGTGTGAACCGTCACAAGGATCAAAATCAGCAACAACAGAATAATTAACAGTGAGTACTCAAAACTTGTCAACAATGGAGGATATCTTAGCAACTCAAGAACAAATAATAGGCGGTATGCAGCAGCTACTGACCAACTTCAAAAAAGATGGTGCGGAACGAAAAACTGCCGTATACATCAAGAAGCGACTTGAAACATTGGAAGCTTATTGGTATGAATTCCATAGCAATCATATTAAGGTTCGAGATATATGCAACGAAACACACCCATATATTGCGCAAAATAAATATGATCAAGTACAGGACTTTTACACAAACACGAAAGCATTTATTCAAAGCTATGTACCTATCGAAGAGAAGTCACGGCCATCGATACCGGTGCTGAAATCTACAACATTCAACCCATCACCTTATCAACAAACAAAACCCATGCAAATAGATCGACCTATCGATGAGAAGTCACAGCCATCGACATCGGTGCTGAAACCAACAACATTCAACCCATCACCTTATCAACAAACAAAACCCATGCAGGAAGATCGGGGTACCAACAGCAAGCTCGACGAGATGCTGCGCAAACAAATCAGCCACTTCAGAGCCTTTAAGCGAACTATATCAACCATTAACCTCGATTTATTACATGAAAACTGGGAATTGCAAGACACTTTGAACACATTGAATACCAGATGGAACGCTATCGACGCGCTGCACTGGGAACTGGACAGTGAACTGGAAGGCCAGAATCAAGCATATGAACAAGAGTATTCCAAAAACGAACGTATCTTCAACGAATTTAAGAAATCCATAAACAAAAAAATATGGTCAACAGCTCACCAAAAAGAATCTACACCGAAGCTCGAAATACCCATATTCAGCGGAAATTACCATCAGTGGATACCATTTAAAGATCTTTTTACAGAATCTATACACAATAACCGATCGCTGTCCAGTGCACAGAAAATGCAATTTCTAAAAAGTAAGGTGAGGGGTGAAGCCGAACGGATTATCCAGCATCTGCAAATAAGTTCAGATAACTACGTCACGTGCTGGGACTTACTTAACAACAGATACAATAATCCGAAATTAATATTTACGTCACACATGAATAATATTATGAACCTGCCTGCTTCAAATCAAGCATCAGTTAACCATATTAAAAAGATACATGACACTACCTTGGAGAGCCTGAATGCAATAAAAAACTTAGGGGTCGATATTACCACATGGGACCCCGTAGTAGTGCACATTTTAAGCCAAAAATTGGACAACGAAACTCATCAAGGCTATATCCAGTCCTTAAAGAACTCTCGAGAATTGCCGAAATTGCAAGAGTTTTTTGATTTTCTAGAACAAACATTTATGTCAATGGAATCCGCCAGGAAAAAACAAGAAAATTATATTCCACAAAAATCAAGCAATTCGAATAATTACAACACAAAGTCTTTCGCTAAATCAAATTACAATAAACATTCCTATGTCAGCAATCAAGCCGCCCCGGTTTCGCAACCGCTAAGTAACAAGATATTTACTTCTTCAAACACAAGGTATAAACCGGCAAAATACGAGTCGGGCTCGTACATCAAAACAAATATGTATAATGCGATTCAAATAAGAATAGGAATGACAATGACCTCTATCTGTCAAATGGCGCTTGAAAAGTATGGTTTGCTAAAAAAAACTTGGAACCCTTCTTTAGCACTCCGCTAATTCAATAATAAAAACCAATCATTTGTAAACAAACAATAACAAATATTGATAAATAATATCGATTGATATTTTTTTTCACTTATTGAGCTTTGGCCATGAATGGTTGATAACCTAAATCGTCAACCAAATGTCACTTTAAGTTGCGTTCAGAAACTCGATTTCAATCTTTTTTTGCTCACTCTACCTATTTGGTTTGAATGGACAGTTATGACGTCACAATATGGTGCCCAGTCGTATCGTCCTATTCTTAGTTGAATCGCATTATACTGTGTGTGTACTGCAAGAAGAATAGGAAATCCAGTGACCTCCATCTATCAAATGTCGCTTGAAAAGTAAGGTTTGCAAAAAAATCTTGGAACACTTTTTTTAGCACTGAGCTAATCTTTGAATAAATACCAAACATTTGTAAACAAAAAAAGGAAATAAATCATATGAAAAGTATAGAAAATGAGTACTGGAAAATGGAAATATAAGAAGTTTAGTTTTATTATAAATACATGTAATAAAAAGACCGTTTTCATTTTAAATAAAGTTGTCGTTTTAATACCTACAGTAATCTATATTTTACTTTATAGCGAAAGCATCAGTGATGATGATGACTACTGTGCAGAGATGAGCGGAATTAAAGAGCTAGATTCTGATTAATGATTTTTCTCACTCAGTCTTAATATCAGAATTTTCATAATATTTATTTAAATATTATGAAAATTCTGATATTTTTTTCTCACTTAATATTGGTAAATAAGTTTTATTAAAGAAAAACTTTTTTGCTCGCTCTACCTAACTGGTTTGATTTGACATCTATGACGTCACAATATGACGCCCAGTCAGTCCTATTCTTAGTTGAATCGCATTGAACATACGCAAAGATATTTATGTCGAGTTGAAAAACGCCAAAAGATCACATTTGCAAAATTGAGTCCACATTTAATAACGGCAGCCATAAACTTCTGCAGACTAAAATAACTGTTTACTACCAACAGGCGGCCTTAAATTTACAAATTTCTTTCGTATCGGTCACGTATTACATTAAATGTGATATCGGTGTTGATTCTGGCGTGATTCTCTAAACTTAAAACTAAATTTAACATCAGTCTTTCCTTTTCATTCTGTATAGAGAATGACAAGGATACATTGTTGTTAAATTTAAGTTAAGGTTTAGAGAAACATGCCAGAATCGATACCGTGGATAAACTTATAGATTCGTCCGGTTCGTATGAGGATAATGAACTCGAGGACATGTTGAGTCATGTTTGTTGCGAAGATTGCGTAAGGCTATCGTCCACTAACGTACCTAATAAAAGATAAGCATCAATTTTTTGCGTTAATGACAAAAGGCAAATTTTCTATGCAACTCACCCCTCGGTTTGCACCAAGAAACAAAGTCATATACTAGTTTTACACAAAACTTGTGGAATAGGTACTTGTGACATTCTTCCGTTTACACTGCATAAGACAATGAGTATCTTTACAAGTATATATATATATAACTATTTACTTTATATATTTTGTGTATCCAACAAGTTTGATGCAAATATTGTATACAACATTATAGTAATATAAGTTATTTACAAGATTATTACCATGAAGTACCTTGTTTTTAGCAAGTTTCCGATATTTTGGCACTGTTGCAAGCGCCATGTAACAATCCCGTAAACATAGATGAATGATTGGTCTCGCTGTGAAGCGATTTATCTATGCCCGTAAATAACTTATATTACTATAATGTTAGTTACATTTATTATTTTGACGACCTCCGTGACCGAATGGTTTGTACGCCGGGTTTCATGGTGTCGCCGACTCAAAAGGTTCGAATTCCGGTGGGGGCAGTTGTTTGTGTGTGTATTCTAT